CCACCCCCGCCGGGCCTCCCCCTCCCTGCCCTCCTGGGTGGTGGCAGCAGGCTAGACACGGGGAGGGACACAGCCCCCACCCGAGACCGACCGCAGCTGCTGCAGAGGACAGGGCCGCGCACTGGGGCTCCCACGGGCCGTCCCTGTTCCCTGACCTTGAGAGGTCCCCTGGCTTCTGCCTGTGATTGGATGCGGGAGGGAGTGGATGGCAGGCTCGGGTGCTGATTCGGCACTTTCTGGGGAGGGCCCTCTGTCCTTCCGTCTGCAGTGGCCTCCTCTCTTTCTCCCTTCGATGTCACTTGGAAAGGGTCCTCTGCACCAGCCCCCAGTCGCTCCCCCCGCCGGAAGGCCTTGCCCTTTGAGCCCTGGGAGGCCGTGTAGGTGCTCAGGAACCACTTCCAGAGCCACCCCCGCAGGCTGGCACAGCTCCCCGAGAGCTCCCGAAGAGGAGTGCCCCACCTCACCAGCATCCTTGCCCAGGAGGGAACAGGGACATACAGGGACATACGGGTGCCGCTGATTCAGCAGCTCCTGGCTGCGCCCCTCCCCCAGCCCCAGCCGGGCAGCATGCCCAGGCATGCTGGCAGCTATGTCACACGGGGCCTCTGGCAGGGCTGCTGTGGCTCTCAGTGTGTGGCCCGCACTGCGCCTGGGGGTTGGCAGGCTGATGCTGGGGGCAGGGCTGGTGCAGGCTTTTGCCAGGTGCCCCGAGGGGGCGGGCCTGCTGCAGGCGGCTGTGGGTGAGCTCAGGAAGCGGGCCGGAAGCGAGTGCGTCCTCAGCCAAGAGGTGGCCGTGTTGTGTGCTGGCCGGCCAGGCCGCATGCCGTCTCCCGGGAGCCTAGGTTGGGGGCAGAGCTCCTCTGTCCCTGGCCATCTAACCTGGTCACCCGCCACCCAGACCTGGGGCATGGACAGGCCAAAGGGACGAGGACCAGCCAGCCGATGGGAGCAGCCTGGGCCAAGGGCCCTGCCTGGCTTTGGTTTGCCCCGGACGGCAGCGGGAAGCCCAGCACAGCCGGCGGCCTGGGTGACCTAGGGCCGGAAGGGGCTGCTGCTGCTGTAGATTTGGTCCTGTGACAGGCCTGAGTGGCAGCCTTCCTCAGTGTCCCAGCACAGAGAGGGCTGTGGGCGTGGGGTGACCCTGGGAGAGGGGTGGGGAGCAGCGTCAGCCTGGAGTCCAGGAAGAGCAGGGGGAGGAGGGGCAACGGGCACCCCATGAACAGTTCGCCCGCTGGAGGTGGCAGTCCTGCTGCCACCCTCCCCTGGTGGCTGGTCGGACGCTGTCTTCAGATCTTCAGACGAAGGCCCTGAGGCCGACGTGCGTGCCTGAAAGGTCAGCTGTGTAGTGACCGGCACTCGCTCCGCAGGGTACTAACGCCTGCTGGCCGAGATGCTGCATGAACGCTCATGGAGAAACCGATCAGTCCAGCCTGACAGCGAGGTGCCGATGTCACAGAGAGAGGAGCCGTGAGCGGCTGGGTGGCCTTTGGGGGGGGTGTCCCCTGTTCTGTGAGGGGCTGGGCTCTGGACTGTCCAGAACAGGTGACATCACCTAGGAGCCCGTGAGCTGGGCGGGGCTGTGGACCCTGCCCTTCCAGGTGGACCCAGAAGAAGCTGGCTGCCCCTCCTTGGACACAGGAAGGGG